TTTTGCCCAATGGACCGACATATCGTAGTGAAATTACAAATCTTAGGAGGAAAGATTCTGAAATTAGTTATTAATTGATAGTTATTTTTGAAATGGTAAAATTTTTTCAAAATGAATTTCGAGCTTCCAGTGTTTCCTTACTGCTAACTCCGAACATTTTTGCACAACGAGGAATTTTGTGTTGTTTTGCAGTTCGAAATTTGAATTTTAAACGGAGCGACGTACTATCGAAAAATGATAAATTTTACGAGGAAAGATTGTAGGTTGTTGTTTTGTAAAATTTTTCTGATTACTTTTGCTTGAATGGCTAAGATATTCCAATGTTTCCTCGTACTTATCCCCGAATTTTTCTGCATAGAGAGGAATCCTCTCCTTTTTATACTTTGAAATTTAAATATTAAATGGAGCGACACACCATAGTAAAATTATAAATCTTGGGAGGAAAGATTCTACATTTTTGTTTTTTTCAAATTCTGCTGCTTATTTTTTCTTGAATGACCAAATATTTTAACGTGCTTCTGATATTATATCTCATACTTAGACCCTAATTGTGTATAAAAGCATATTTTTGGCAGGTATTCCTAAATTTTCAGATCTCGAATAATTTTTAGCTTTCAATTTCAGTATTAAAAATTTCTTCAATTTTGTACCAATTCTTTTTTATACAGAGAAGACATCTTCTTTAAGTATAATTTTTGTTACATTTATGAGTAAATATCCAAATATTAGGATTCTTACCAGGAAAAATTCTACATTATTGTTTTATCAAATTTTCCTGCTTATTTTTTTTTCAAATGCCCAAATATTTCGAGATGCTTATGATATCATACTTTTGATATTAGATCCTAATTGTGTATAATAACATATTTGTTACGTATACATAAATTTGCAAATCTCGAATAATTTTAAGATTTTTCACACTTTTAATATCAGTATGAAAAATTTCTTCAATTTTGTACCAATTCTTTTTTTATATACGGAAGACAATGTTTTGAAATATAAATTTTTTTAAATTTAAATGTCCAAATATCGGGGATAAAGGGACTCGAATTCCAAGAAGTTACTTCGCAAACCTAACTTTCTCTGGTTTCTCCACTAGATGTTGAAATATTTCTCGAGCACGTTTTGCACCTTAGGATTTTGTAGCTTCTGCGAAACTAAACGGGTCGCGGTGTGCAATTGCTGTTCACCATTCAAACAGTGTACATCATTAGCCTTTCAAATCGAATAATACCTTCAAGGAGATTCTGCTGAATGTTTCATAACACGCTGTTCGGTATCGAGCTGCAAACCTATCACATATTATCGTATGCTAATGTTTCCATACACACGCGTTCCTTCGTTAAAAGCATCATTAATGTCCCTTCAATCAAATAAACACGATCAACCCATCGATTATTATAAACGCTAATTTCGTTACGTTGTGTTGGCTAACGATTTTAATTAACTCTATGCTATTAACTCTTTGCTTAAGAAAATTTCGAAATCGTTAAATTGAATATCTCAAGTGTATAATTGCCTTTCAATTTTGATACCAGAAATATTTTCTTTTCTGCAGAAAATTCTTCTACTAACTACTCGAAAGTATGTTATTTACTTAAGAAAATTTCCAAATAATTGGGTCGAATATTTCAAGTGTAATTGCCTTTCAATTTTGATACCAGAAATATTTTCTTTTCTGCAGAAAATTCTTCTACTAACTACTCGAAAGTATGTTATTTACTTAAGAAAATTTCCAAATAATTGAGTCGAATATTTCAAGTGTAATTGCCTTTCAATTTTCATACCAGAAATATATTTTTGTTCTCTAGAAAATATTTCTATTAATTGCTCAAACTTATATTTTTTACTCAAGAAAATTTCAGAATCATTAAGTCCAATATTTCAAGTGTAATTGCCTTTGAATTTTGATACCAGAAATATTTTCATTTCTGCAGAAAATTCTTCTACTAACTACTCGAAAGTATGTTATTTACTTAAGAAAATTTCCAAATAATTGGGTCGAATATTTCAAGTGTAATTGCCTTTCAATTTTGATACCAGAAATATTTTCTTTTCTGCAGAAAATTCTTCTACTAACTACTCGAAAGTATGTTATTTACTTAAGAAAATTTCCAAATAATTGAGTCGAATATTTCAAGTATAATTGCCTTTCAATTTTCATACCAGAAATATATTTTTGTTCTCTAGAAAATATTTCTATTAATTGCTCAAACTTATATTTTTTACTCAAGAAAATTTCAGAATCATTAAGTCCAATATTTCAAGTGTAATTGCCTTTCAATTTTGATACTAGAAACAAATTATTTTTTTCTCTAGAAAATATTTCCGTCAGCTATTAAAAACCAAGCTCTATCAAATTCAATTTCTGAAGCATTCTAATCACATTACATTTGCCAAAAAGACCTACGCAATTTTCACAAACATCGCAATTAATCTTACCAATAGATCAACATAACCACCCAACACATTATCGCCATTTACTTTACTAATTGCCCAGCATTCGTCTCTACCACGCTCTCATAAATAATTTCTCCGAATAATCCACATTATTATCCAAGACATTGTCGTCGTTAATCTCACTAACGGGCCTCTATCAATCTTCCCCTATCACCGCTAATTCCCCGCTAATATGCCCCTTAAACTGTCTCTTAAAATACCCGAAGCCCACCTACAACCGTAACCCAAATTCCACAAAACATATCACCGATCAATTTCATCACCTCCAAACAAATCCTTCCCACGATTCCTCTATCTTTCTCTAACTCTAACAACGAAACGCTAAATCTTTTCTATGTCACGTAACGTCGTCGTGTCCTTAGCAAACAGATCCACGCGTCCACGACAGTACTCCCAGAGAGCAAATAAAATATTTGGCTAGGTGTACGAGAAGAAGAGGGGCAGAGGCATCCCGATCCGTGGCCTCTTCTCTACGCAAACTTTAGTCAGTGGATTCGAGGCCACCATGCCGTCTACAACTGGGTCTGACATTGTTAAAACGTCATGCACATCTCGGGGCACCGTGTCGCCTAATAATCGATCCACGATCGATCGATCCTCGCTAAAAAATATGTGACTCGTCCGATCGTCATCGTCGAAGAAATTGGTGAAATCTCGTCGAGATCTGCGGTAGATCCATTTACCAGCGGCTCTAATTTCCAATTAGGACTTCTGTGAACTCTCGAGAAAAACTTGAAACGTCGAAATTCGAGAAACAAACGGTTCTAAATATTCCGCGAGTGAAATTGAACAGACATTGATAAACGTCGAGGATGGCTGAAGAATAAACGCGCGACCTCCGAGTCGAAATGTCTCTGGGAAGCTTCAGATCGATGTTGAAACACGATCTCGATCAGGATTCGATCGGTGTGGCTCTGCCGCGATTTCTCAACTTGGTCCACGTCCAAACGGATCGATCGTTCATTGATAGCCTCGAGATGATCTTAATAAATCTTCCGAGCTCTTCTGTCTACTGAAACGCTGCGTTTCCGCGTGCTCGTGTTTACACGCGTCAAATTTTCGTGGAATTTCTGAGATGTAACGTGTTCGAGGAAATCGCGAAAGCTGGACGATCTTTCGGTGTGACAAGATGAAACGAGAAGAGTTGAACGAGTGTCTGTCTCTGTGATTTCGAAGCTGGTCTTCGTGTCGTTCGGTTCAACGTCAACGTGAATGGGAACTTCTAGTCGACTTTCGTGGCTGAATTAATTCCTGTTTTTCTCGATGTCGTCTTTTTCTTCAATGTCTGTCGCGGATCGTTTGAAATTCCGTTGTTCTTCGAGACGTTGATCGACGTACCTGACCGATGATATCGTGTTTGTGCTTGGTACACTACAGGTGATTCCGCAAGGAAATTTTGTGCCAAGTTTGCAAGGTGTGAAACGTGAAAGGAAGGATTTGTAAGTGTTCGGTGTGTTATCGGTGATTTTCTTATATAATTCTATAATTTTTTATAATTTTTGTAATA